ACAGACATAAAGTTAAGTTACTTATCAGCGGTAATCGCTAGATCGGCTAGAAATCGAATAAATCAGCCATTTATAGGATCGTGAACGCCCTTTCCATTATCAGCGAATTATGTTGTGACTCCACATAGTTCTGTGAGCCGTTATCTCTAAACTGTCTCTAATTTTGGCCATATCAGCACACGCACACACACACAGGCCAGACAAATTTTTGTCCAAGCAAATCGTAGCTCTTTTAATCGATTGACCGGTAGAAAATGCCTTAGGCAATTCCGTAATCCCATATTAAGTACGCCGATCTATAAACTTATGCATGAATTAAATAAATTAAAATAAATAGAATAGAATTGGTGACACTCTGTATTCTTAATCCGTGTGGTGACGGATTAAGAATACAGTGTCACCACCCCTATTCATCTCGTGGGTGTCGTAAGAGCCGACTAAGGGAAAAAACTACGCATAACAACACCACTGCAGAGAGAAGGAAAGCTTGACACAAACCCTATACTAACCCGTCTGGCCATCGTGGTATAGTAGGCCAAAACCTCCTCTCTAAGGACAGGCTTATGTCCAGCAGTGGACTATTAAAGGCTGTTGGTGATGATGATGATGAATAGAATTTAGAATAGAATATTATGTATTTCATAAAGCACAGCATACAGGGATAAAACAGAGTTAAATAACAACATATACAAAGAAACTAAAAATTAAGTAAGGTTTGATAAAGGCAACATTTTAAATAACGAATTTTTGGATTTTCCTTCTACATTCCTGTCAATATTATAAGTTTTTTGAAGTCTTATAGATAATTTAAAGATATCTAGAGAGATTTTAGGCTCAGGGTAATAATGATAAAACCCTCCGTCGTATTAATAACCCTCCGCCACTAAATTAATTCCTTGCAGCTGTATACAAAACTTGAGATATCTCTCATCCTTACTTGCTTTCTTATCCTTACCGCCCGCGTGTATGTTGTTTGTCGCGGTAAAAAGTAGCCTATGATACTAGGGGAAAATGTGGCTTTCCATTGGTGAAAGAATTTTTATGGTTTAGGCGTGAAAGTGTAACAAACAAATGCTCTTTCAAGTAGGTATATAATTTAAGTATGGATAGAGTAGATCTTATTGTACATAACGTTTTTTTTATTTTTTTTATCTTAGAGGGGGCAGACGAGCAGACGGGTCACCTGAAAACTAATTGTTTTACAAAAAACGTAAAATTTTGTGGTTTTAGCGTAAAAGCGTAACAAACAAAGCAACAATTAATATCAATTTCACATTTGACTTGAGTGTAAATCGAACCCACGACCTCACACAACAACAGTTACGTTCACCAAAATTATGATTGCATCTATCAGCTAAAAAGAATCAAAAAAATTCAATTGATAATATAAAGTTATTTAGTATTCACTTTAATTTGATTAATGAGATAAGATAACATTGTTTATTTATACGAAATATGGTGACAAGTATATTTCACAATGCAACTGACGTAGGCACTGGCGTAGGATATCTAAATATCAATACGTGAAGGAAATTCTTCGCAACACTTTTTAAACGAAATATATGACGCAAGAGAGCAAGATATATATGGAAAACTTGGTGTTTACTTGTAGAACTAAGTATACATAGCTAAAATTTAAAAACAATATCCATTATAATTATTTTTATATATTTCTCACACGGCCCTGTACTATGGTAACCAGACTGCTGATAAACATACTTATATAATTCTAAATATATGCATATTATCCGTGTGGTCACGGATTAAAATACGGAATGTCACTACCCCTATTCATCCCGTGGGTGTCGTAAGAGCCGACTACGCAGGACAACAGCACTGCCAAGAGAAGGAAAACTTGAAACAAACCCTTTACCAACCCGTCTGACCAGCGGGGTATAGTAGGTCAAAACCTCTAAGGAGAGGCCTATGTCCAGCAATAGACTATTATAGGCTGTGGATGTGATGTGATGATTTTATTAATTTAAGCGAAAATTGGAAGCTTTACCGAAAGCTATTAGGACTCAGGATGCAACAATCTGGAGGCAATGTAGAATCCGCTCAAAGTCAAAGACCAAAGTTCCTTTTCTCGGAGTTGTTCAAGGCGTTTAACACTCCTGTACCTTTGTTACAGATAACGCTAAAGCCTGGGTTTTCAGTAGCCAATAAGGAATAGTATAACAAGACGGTAAGGAATAGTAGTGTAGGACGCCCACAGGCCAGGTGGAGTGACGATTTGCGCAAGATGGCTGGCAGGACCTAGATGCGAGAAGCCCAAAATCAATTTAACTGGAGCAGTCAGGGTCACTAACCACTAGACCAATAGGCCAGTATCTAATTATATTATTATCCACACTAATATTATAAATGCGAAAGTGTGTTTTACTGTTTGTCTTTTTGTCTCTCTGTCTGTCTTCCCTTTTTATGCTTAAACCGCTGAACCGATTTATATGAAATTTGGCATAGAGATAGTCCGAGTCCCGGTAAAGGACATAGGGTATAAAATTTAAAGTTATAGGAACCAGTGTATACTTATTTTATTCTGTCATTCAAATGTATCTACTATACATAAGAAAGTAAATTATCAAGAAAACATCGGTCCAAGATTGCGTTAACGAAGTTACGTACATCTTTCGACTGGTTTCCGAGTTTTCGCTAAAATCAATTAAGTTAATAGAAAGTAGATTTTTATTAGGCATGGAATTAAATCACAATCACATGTGATAAATAATATGAATTATAAACCTGTGACTGATTTACAAAACCACTTCGACTTATTATTACGCAAGCACTAGACTCGCGAAAGGTCTCTAAAATCTAAAAAAGGTCGTAATCTTTGAGAGGTTTGACTGGTTTTCATGGCATTTATCTTTGTCTATGACTAAATTACAATCACAGGTAAAATGGTTGTACTAAAACCAATCATTTCATTATTCAAAAGTAGCAATAATATCCATGTCTAGTTTTGTGTTTAAATCTAAGTTTACATATCATTTTTTAAACACTTCCTCTAATTGACACCCGTTTATTTTGACAAATGACATAATCAAGAACACCGCATTGATGCGGTGTAATATCCGTATTTCGCAGACAAACAAAACAGCCAATACCTGTTACCTTGACTACAATTCTACTTACCTAACTTAAGGGTTACTTAATATTTGACGGGCCTGTTGGTGTAGTGGTTATTGACTCTGCTTAGCTTACTCGGTCGTGGGTTCGACTCCCACCACATGATCATTTGTTCTGTGGCTGGGTGTAAAGTATGTTTATCAGTTATCATAGTACAGGGTACCTAGTTTAGGATCAGACTGCTGTGTGTGAGATGTGTAAATTATTAACTTATCGATCGTAGTAGTGCGATTAATTTAAGTTTATTGATAAAAAAATAGGGTTCCATGGCTTCACAGCTTTAGAGGAATTCACGGCTACTGTTATCAGATCGCCTAAAAATCATAGGGTTCCTTCTAGTCACATTAGTAGAAAAAGATCTTAGTTTGAATTAGTAGAAAAAGATCTTAGATTGCGCCAGAGTTATTAGCAGTTTTCCCCCTTTTTTTTTTTCCGTGCGGAAATCCCCCCGGATACCACCTGTCGGTGGCATGTCGAACTCGAACCGACTAAAACCGCACGCCGTCTCGGGTACTAATAGCCGCGTAACCAGGTATACCCTAGAAAGGAAGTCCCTGGTGGCAGTTTTCCCCCTGGAATTTTGTTAAGGTAGGTATCAGTCACAAAACGGCGGTTTGGACCTGAACCGTTCTTCACTGCCAGCTTCTGATTATTGGCTTTCCCTGCGTTACCGCGTTGAGATGATTGGTTCTTCCTGTTAAACATCATCAAACATTTTATTAAAAAGCGGGACCATCAAAAGTGTTTTTATTTACATTGAAACAGTTATTTTTCTACACTTCTTTAAAATTCGGTCCATAAAGATATAATAATCTTCAAGATAGTGCAGTAATACACTGACACAGTCAAGTGCACATGTCAGTTTACTTTCCTAAGTCGTGTTAGTTGTATCACAATTAATAGTTTTTATTACGTGTTAGTGTGTGTCGTGAACTGTCAATTAGATTCCAGAAAAATGTGTGTGTGTGATGAATAAGGTTCATTATGATAATTTGGTTGAAATAATCACGGTAGTATTTATAAAGGACGAGACATATTTCCCTACTTAATATATCGATCAGAGGATAGTATTTGTGATAATAGTGCTCCGATAAATAGCTTCTGTCGCGGAAAAACCCAGTTTACCGGTCTATTACAGTAAGCTAACGCGAAAGTTTAAAAAACAATTGTGAAAAATAAGCGAACTGCAGAAATAGATTATACTTGTACTTTTATTGTGTATTATTACTTTAATGTGAAGAAAACAGTTAACTAACGATACCTCTCTGATGACCAATATTATAAATGCGAAAGTGACTCTGTCTCTCTAAACCGCTGAACCTATTTAAGTGAAATTTAGCATGGAGGTACTTTGATTGTCGAGGAAGGAAGGCTTCTGTTTACTTTATACACTTCTTTTCATCCACCGATTAGCTTGGTAATTTCTCAAAATTACACTATCCATCAATGTCAATACTTCGTTCCAACAAAACGTTTAATTAAGTAACTGATACGCATTGATATATGAAAATGCAGCAATCCAGTATATTCCTGTAGCACTAAATTTTACATGTGTCTGAATACAAAAAAGTCAAAAGAACAGACACAGAATCAAATGAATCGAAGTCGAATGGATTTTACCAATAGATAGATTGATTCCTGAATTACACACCTGAATTACACCTAAACTAGCCGGTTTAGGTGTAATTCAGGTCTTGTATAAGTAAATTTTGTAAATGGATTTCATTTAACGAACAAATTATTATCAATAATATAAGTAGACCATTTATTTTGCTCCACGTCTGTAATACAGGACATTTAAGCCAAAACAAATTTTTTAGGACTCGTCTCTTCAGATACAATTCTAGAAAGAGCAAAAGAAAGTAGCCAAGATGTTGGCCGCAGCAGCAAGCACGCTTGCTCCGCGTTTAAAGCGGATCACCATCAGGAAACCCATCATAGAAAACATTGTATTTAAACTACACTATCAGATGACAGTGACGATGCTCATAGCCTTTGTGATTCTCGTCTGCGCTCGGGAATACTTCGGAGAACACATCAGATGTATGTCAGACAATGCAATACCTCAAAGGGTCATTGAGAATTACTGCTTCTTCATGGCTACATTTACTATTGTAAGTTGCATTCTTTTGAGGTTTTAATGTTGGTATATTTATTTCTCCTTTCTAAGGAGAGGCCTATGTCCAGCAGTGGACTATTATAGGCTGTTGATGATGATGATGATTGATGATATTTATTTATTTCATTTACTTTATGCACTTTTGTACATCGGCGGACTTAATACCCAGGGCATTCTCTTCCAGTCAACCTTTGGGTGGTGTAGAGTAAGGTAGATGAACAGAGGTTACGTTATACAATTAAGTAATCAATGAAAATATATACGGTTCACTACATACATATACAACACTACACATCAAAAATACACATTGATACACATACATACAATTGTAAAAATACTACTAATACTATAATAACAGATCTACATCGACTGGAGTGATGTTACGGCCTCTTAAAAAACCGGTGTTAATCAATCTTTTCGTTGTTTTTTTCCGATTATGTGAGCCAGATCTATGATTCCGAGGGTGTGGTGGAACTAAAAGGGCGGCGTACGCAACGCACTCTTTTGCTTCATAGTCACATACCATTAGGTGACTCCTGACTCCTGCTCCTTTGCCTGCTAAATCATAGAAAAAACAGAACGTAGCATAGCTCGGTCTATTTGTATTAGAATAAAGTACTCTTAAAGAATGATTTAATTTTACTTACAAATACTTACATGTCACACAGAAGCATCTACAAAAACAAGAAAGAAATATTTATGCATACAAATATTGAAAAACAAATGCGATTCTTAAGTGCTGTCTAATATCTACCAGTGCCTTTGAGTTTAACATTTTCCTTACAAACCAAAACGACAACTTTGATACACTTTATAGAAAAAGTGTACAAAAGCTGGCAAGAAAATAATTATTTGCAATTGTATATGCGTAATGTTTTTGTAAAATGTTTTTTTTTAATAAAAAGCCCAGTTACGTTTTCGTCCAATTCTAAAATAGTGTACACAATATACAATACTTTTAATTTACGTGTCATTGAAAACAAAGTACATAGTCTTTATATCCATAATATCTTATCTAACCCTTTTAATCTTTTTTATCTACCGAAACGGTAAGCTTGGTTGGCTTAAAATTTATGTGTCGTAATTTTAGCTTGAAACAAAAAGTATTGTTTTAAATATATTGTCAATAAATGCTCAGGCGCCTGAGAGTGGGAGAGACATAATAGACATAATAATAACCAGATCGATTTTATACTAAAGAAGTTCTCGTTAAAAGCCACGGAGTGATACCACGGCCTCACAAAAAACCGGTGTTAAGCAATTCTTTCGTTGCCTTTCACTGAGTGAGTGAGGGTACCGGAGCCTAAACCCCTTCTCCCGCTAACTAGAGCGGGAGGGACTCCAAGGGCGGCAACGCACTTGTAACTTTTGAGTTGCAGGTGTCCATGGGCGGTGGTAGTTGCTTACTATCAGGTGACCCGTCTGCTTGGTTGCCTAATACCATAAAAAAAAGCAGCCGTATCTAACCGGCGAGCATGTGTATTTTTTTTTAATGTGAATGAAGCGCACAGGCTGTATGTCAAGATCGTTTCAAATGACGTTCTGCCTGTCTGTATGGTATCTGTCATTTATGTCATTTAAACATAAAGTTTTTATAAGTCAATAATGTTAGAACTTTCGAACGCCGACAGCTTTGTACGCGATTTCGGCAAAGGCAGACATTTTAATACTGTAATGACAGATTACATGTCAATATTATGAGAAATAAGAATTGAAAACAGAGCCATGGAACTTTATTTTGAGAGAAAATTGTCATTAATAAAACCATAGGCATGTAAATATTGAATAAAGGAAAAAATAAAGTCATTGACATTTACATGAAAATGTATAATAAGGTTAAGGTTTTTGACATTCAAAGAAAAAATTATTAAACCCATTCTTCGTAGGATAGCGCTCTTATTTTGATTTCATACAAAAAGTCTCCTAAAATATCAGCACACGATTCTGTAACACCTTGAGTATCATGGTTTGGCTTTTGGTCAAAATAAGCCTCTGTTCACTCAAAAACCTAATGTTGTCTGGTCTTGGACACTAAAGATATAAACGCTTCAGGTAGTGGTGGTTTGGTGAAGGTAGGTGGAATACAAACACCAACCAGGAAGGTGGTGTACAGATGTACTTGTTTTCACGACCACTAAAAATAAAATAAAATTATAGCATAGGGAGGCAAACGAGCACATGGGTCACTTGATGGTAAGTCACAAAGAGAATTGCCATGCTGTGAGTCCCCCCACCTCAGAATCGAGGACAAGAGTGTTTGGAACTGAAAATTACATAACACCCGTTTTCTTTAAATTCCCTAAGTCTGGTGTCTAATCAAAAAGAATATATTTTCAGTATTATATCTGTCATTTCATTTAATTTCTCTCGCTCTAGAATAGTTCTAGTTTCAGCGGAGAATCCATTACGTTATCATGTATATGAAGCCACGGTTCAACACTCGATTTTAAGAAGTTTTAAAGTACTAAAAACGTGCAAAAATTCTTGTAATATACAGGATAGTTATTTACCAAGTAGTTGGACTTACCTTGATTGAAAAGCTCAAGCCATGATTCTACAAACCGATTCTTATTATGTTCAAAACTTGTATCCTAAAAGATTTTATTTCTTTTAGTTCCATTTCACCCGCTTCAAACATTTAGATTCGAATTTCATTGTTTCGAATCGTTATAATTATTTCTGTATTATATACCGCCTTTATCGTATCGAATATTTTTATTGCTGTATTTGTAGGACTATCTTATCAAAACCTCTTCAGAATCTATCGTGGCTTTAGCGGCAGGATTAACCATTTGTACCAGTACCTACACGTGATGGTTTTTTTATTCAGGCTGACACTTTGAGCCTAGCCTACTTTTAAATAATGAAATTGTTTTAACTGTACAGTGGTTTTTCTTACCGATGTTTAAGAATTCTAGGTCAATGAGATTTTCTTCAGGAAGATTTTTATTTTTTGCTTTGAATCATCAACATCATCACACATCAACAGCCTTTAATAGCCCACTGCTGGGCATAGGCCTCTCCTTAGAAAGGAGGTTTTGGCCTACTATACCACGCTGGCCAGACGGGTTGGTATAGGGTTTGTGACAAGTTTTCCTTCTCTCTGCAGTGCTGTTGTCCTGCGTAGTTTGTAGTCCCTTAGTCGGCTCTTACGACACCCACGGGATAAATTGGGGTAGTGACATTCCGTGTTCTTAATCCGTCACTACACGGACTTTGGTTTGAATATGAGATTTAAATGTGCATATCTTTTCATTGCGTTGACTTGTAAGCATGACTGATTATAGCTTCTAGAGACTGCTGATTCATTGATGTTAATTTCTGCGTGACGCTTTGTTTTCTACAACAGGCAGACAGATAGACATAATACGAAGCGAGCCCATAAGGGTTCATTTTTTAACACGCGTTTAGTAGCTTGGTATGTGTCTAAGAAGGTGATTTTGACCCACTTCAAAACGTCGAATTAAATTGCGTTTTATTTACGATAACATGCTTGTTCTTTTTGAACTTATAGAACATTATTTCCTACTTTTTAGTTTGGCTAGCTACAAAAGCGTGTTTATTTAGTTTTTTGAGTATGTAATTTGTAAATGTTTCCATAAGAGCGGAACAGTGACTATATGCCAATATAGAGAATTGCCAATGTTTTAATGGTGTTGCCACCAAGAAATTGACCATGTAACAAATGAGGTCTAATCTCGAGGTTATATTATTAAACTATTGTTATTTCTGCAGGTTCGTCACTACAATGAAAGTCTCCTGGAAGGTGAATTCCTTCCTCATCCGGGTGTGGGGCCTATCTTGGAATCAGACGAGACGTTAAACCATACATATTACCAGTGGGTGCCGTTCGTGCTCTTTATACAGGCTATTTGCTTCTATATTCCTCACTCTATCTGGAAGAAGAAAGAAGGTGAGTTACATAACTTTGATGGAGAAATCTATAAAATACTACAAAATAAATAGTAGTTTTAACAGCGTAAGCAGTTTTTTGCTGTTAGCAAAAAACGGCTTACGCTGTTAGAATGTTTTCCGGGCGTGAAAAATAATAAAATTATAGGGCTTTCTTCAACTGTCATGGCTTTAAATACAAACTATGGAGGGCAGAGAACCATCTCTGAGTTTTCTTTTTTTATGTTAGAGGGGGCAGACGAGCAGACGTGTCACCTGATGGAAAGTGACCATGGCCGCCCATGAACGTCTGCAACTCAGGAGTCACAAACGCGTTGCCGGCCTTTTTGAAAGGAGAGCGTACTGCTCTTTTCTTGAAGGTTTGAAGGTCGTATCGCTCCGGAAATATCATGATCACCCGTTCCAGAGATTGGTTGTGCGGGACAAAAAGTGTCTCGAAAAGCGCACAGTAGTGGACTATCCAGGTGATGAGGATGAAAATGAAAAGTATGAAAAGTGTCCGTAAATACGCGTCCAATAAGGGTGGCGCTGCGGTAGCTTATTTTAATTTTAAAGAAAGTGCCAAAACTAATTAGAATAAGATAAAACTAATAAAATCTCAAAAATAGTTGAGGTTTTGTATACTGGCATTTTATTAACTATTCTAGTCATGATTTTTTTTAAACATTTGATAAGTTTAAATTGTTGAGCACACTTCACTCCGTCTACAATATTATACTATAATATGTATCTAAAATGTCTCTAATATTTATTTAAAAATATATAAGTATGTTTATCAGCAGTCTGGTTACCGTAGCTTGGGATCAGACGGCCGTGTGTGAGATGTGTGAAATATATTATTAAATTATGTTGTTCAGGTGGCAGAATCCATGCGTTAGTCCAAGGATTGCAGTACGCATCACTAGCTCTGGAGAATGATGACATGAAGGTCGGCACCATGGATGTGCCTTCTAAAAAAACCATCAATGAACGAATAGATATAATACGAAAAGATATTATTTTGAGGTGAGATGATCATAATTACATTAAATAACAATTCGGTTAATCATCATCATCATCATCAGCCTATCGTAGTCCACTGCTGGACATAGGCCTCTCCCATTGCACGCCACTTAGATCGATTTTGGACTTCTCGCATCCAGCTCCTGCCAGCCATCTTGCGCAAATCGTCACTCCACCTGGCTACAAATTAAAAAAAATGCTATAGAAATTTTCTATGTGCAAATGTGTGGAGACGACAAGATACTGTGTTTAGATGGTAAATAATAATGTTATCATTTTTTATCGATATTTAGGCTGAAAACCGAAAAAGATGATACCAATGCACGGATGGCGTAGTGGTTTAATCGGTCGCCACGCCTTTTACTACTACGCTGAGTGGACGACACTTTGTGTGATCCACAAATTGTTGTTCTGAGTCTGGGTGTTCTTTGTGTCTGTTTCATGTATGTTTGTAATAGTCCCCTTCGACACAGGATATATTCCTAATGCGGGAGTTGTCTTTAAAAAAGAAGATAATAGAAAGATAATTGTGCGTATTCACCCAAATTGTCATCAAATATCACAAAAACATTGTAATTTTTATCCAAAAAACGGAACAGTTCGTTCCTGAAGGATGGTAAAATGGAATGGAAACGATAGAAATTTTAAGACCTTGCAGAGATAATATTTAAGAGGCCTGTTGGTATAGTGGTTAGTGACCCTGGCTGCTAAATCGAAGGTTGTGGTCACGGTCATTTGTCATTTGGTCTATGTCTGGGTGTAATTTATCTATTTAAAAATATATAAGTATGTTTATCAGCAGTCTGGTTACCATAGTACAGGCTCTGCCTAGGTTGGGATCAGACGGCCATCTGTGAGATGTGTGAGAGATATTTATTATAAAAAAAAACAATTATACATTTTGTTTAAGGTTAAAAATAACTCAAACTTGGTCGGTTTGGTTGGTGTCCATGGAACTGCTCAACTTCCTACACGTGATGTTCCAAATATGGCTGATCAACAAGTTTTTAAATGGACACTTCATTGGGCTAGGCCCTAGAGTGCTGAGTTACCGTGATTGGGAACACCGGATAGCTGATCCACTGGAGACTGTTTTCCCTAAAGTAAGACAAATAAATGCAATACAACATTTTTGTAATCTTCTTTTTAAGTACAAGATGGATATTTTGAAGCCAACTAGTGCAAACTTTCTTAATAAACAATCCCCGTAAACCGAAAAAAACATTTTGACGAGATAGTGGTACTAATTCTGTTGTTCGAAAACTCTCTAAACTAAACTAAAAATCACCAAAAAATTGTTTAGTTCTGTCAAACAGCGTGTCCTATTCTGAAAACGTAATATTTAACAGGACGAAATTTTGACAGGATAATTGAATACTTTACTAATGTAAAACTAAACATAATGTCAACATACTAATGTAAACATACTAAACATAATGTCAACATGCTAATGTAGACTGAGACAAGAATAGAAGGAAGGATTAGTAAACAGGTAAACAGATTGGCCAAAAAGAGTTCTTAATTGTTATAGGTAACGAAATGCGTGTTTCACAAGTTCGGTCCGAGCGGTTCCATCCAGCAGCACGACGCTCTCTGTGTAATGGCGCTGAACATAATACACGAGAAGATTTATTCCGTGCTGTGGTTCTGGCTTCTCTTCTTGTTCATTGCATCTTTTCTCGGTAAGTAAATCGGATCAGTATGTCCTTATCCTCATATAGTGTTTTAGGTTGGAATAAGATTATTTTGATATACAGATGCTCAGGCACACCCAATTAGAATTTCAGTATTAATGTTGAATGTTTGTATGTAGTATTATAGATTAAAATGACGGTGAGGAATACGGAGTGTCACCACCCCTATTCCTCTCATGGGTGTCGTAAGGCTAACTAAGGGCAAACTACACAGGACAACAGCACTGCAAGGAGAAGGAAAACAAACGCTATACCAACCCGTCTGGCCGGCGTAGTACAGTAGGCCAAAACCTCCTTTTTAAGGATATGCCTATATCCAGCAAGTGGACTACTAAGGGCTGTTGATGATGATGATGATAAAGCATCAGCAAAAACCTTCATGGATCATAACCTTATAGGGGCTAGCGCTGTAGCCGCTTTTCCTCTCTGGCGGACTACTCACCGGCTGACCCAGTGGAGAGATTCAAGAGATTACCTCAGGGCGCCTTGTATGAGAATAGAAGTGTGTGCGTGTGGGAAACCTATGGGACTCTTTAGAGGAAAACAACTTACACCTCAGTTATACATACATGTATATTTCAAAAAAAGTAGATCAAATTCACAATAAGAAATTAAATAAATTAAACAGTGTGGGTACAAGAAAAAGAAAAAAAAACCGCAGCGGAGCGCGTTAGAGCCGAGCTGATGGTGCTCGGTGCCTCCTCGTCGTCCCTCCAGGAGGTTACTTCCTCTTCCGCCCGAGTCGGCTATTTATATTAGATATGGATAAAAGTTTAACAATTTGCAATTATAAGTTTAAGTACGTAACTCTTGGGTACGGCTGTCCGCTTGCGTCGTGAGCCACGCAATCACCAGCTTTGCCAGAGGGTACCGAGAAACTTGAGTCTGTACCAGAAGGCCACAAAAGAGCAAGTACGCCGTCTGAGACTGACCGTCTTGACCCCGAAATCTGGGACCCACTTTAGTGGGTAGATTTAAACAGATAATATATTACGAAAATTAAATCACACAGCAATCAAAACACTATTTAAGATCGGAAGGCACGAGATAGCAGAGTCTCTCCCGTGGCAGAAAGCCGGACTTATATATCCTAGGTTCAGGAAGCTTCCAGACTTTATCCCTACTCAACATTTTACTTTGACATTTAACATCAGTGAACACAGAAGATCAAAACTGTAGTTATAAACTACCTTAGATAAATCAACAACAATGCAACGCGACTAATAGATGTAGCTTTTAACAAGACCGTACGCATTACAAATGTACAAAAAAAATAACTGTTACAGCGCTACAGTGGCCACGTTTTGTCACGGTGTCTTGTGCTTGTTAGTACACGTACACTAGCTTCACAAGTCTAAAACTCACTATAGTTTGGTAAACTTGAACATAGGAATATGTATTATTATGTTTTGTCGCAAATAGCGTGTAAATAATCTTAGCATCAGAAACCTATAAAATTGTTTTGTTTAAATTCATGAGTTTTATAACCTAGTGGTTAGTGACCCTGACTGCTAAATCGGAGGGCGTGGGTTCGATTCCCACCCAGGACAAATATTGTGTGATGAGCACGGTCATTTGTTCTGTGTCTGGGTGTAATTTATATATAATATGTATGTATTTAGAAATATAAAAGTATGTTTATCAGCAGTCTGGTTACCATAGCTAGGCTCTGCCTAGTTTGGGATCAGGCCGTGTGTAAGATGTGTGAGATATATTATATTATATTATACAGCGAATAGCTAGGCGGTGTTTATGTTGATTTACATTTTATAGTTTATACCTAAATCTATTTTAATTCAGAAGACAAAACGGCACTTCAGTAACAATTTTTCTATCAAAATGTATGTCCTTGCGTCGCTATGTGCTTGTATAACTGCACCTTTCAATATATTGGACGTTTCCAGCGATCGTTTGGCGAGCTATTACCTACTTCGCATACCGTCGGTCTTTGCGTTTCAACCAGGTGTTGTTGAAACGTGCGAACGTGGGCAAGTTTGAACCCATCAACGTAATAAGGGTTGTAAACGGATGCCAATTTGGTGATTGGCTGTTTCTATATTACTTGGCGAAGAATATGGAAGGCATTATTTTCCAGTAAGTCAAAATTTATATTTGTTATTGGAAATTTTGTGACTTCAGGTTAAGTTCGTTTCCCAAAGAGAAAAACGAACGAATGAAAATAATGAACTTTTGTGTCATTTATAAAAAAAAACCTATTCATTTTTAGGGTTCCGTACCTGAAAAGATAAACAAGGAACCCTTATAAGATCACTTTCTTGTCCGTCTGTCCGTGTGTCAAAACCGATTTTCTCAGGAACCGGTAAACCTAGCAAGTTGAAATTTATACCAGATACTGAGGTCTATGGTCCCTATTAGGTGTATACAAATCAATCAAAATTTATCTTAATTTTCAACTTTTTTTTTTTTGAGAATTTTTTTCTTTACCTGTGCTGTAAGACCTCGCTTTTAACCAAAATTGACAATTCTAGGCAACCGGAAGTACCCTATAGGTTTTGGGTGAAAATCTATATGGTAGTTCCCGTTGACCAAGAATCACGAAATTTGGCAAAAAGAAACGTCTTACAGCACAAATAAAGGAATAATTCCAAAAAATTAAAAAAGTTGAAAATTAAGATAAATTTTGGCACTTACAAATTTTCGCAAAAATCTACGTAAAATCTGGGTAGGTACGGAACCCTCGACGTACGAGTTCGACTCGTACCTGACCGGTTTTTTTTTTATTTATTAACATAAACTTTTACAATATAATAATTTTGAAAAACCTACTAAACAACATTTGTGCACCTAATTTTTTTTCTTTGCAGACAATTATTAGTTACGCTCGCAAAAGAGCTTCAGGCCAGTGAGATCCCTTCCAATGGCGTTGGAAATGAAGAACCGGGAGCTGATGATCCTGTCCTTATGGACACCGTAAACTATGATGATGAAACCCTTCCGCTTCAAGAAAAGAAATCATCATAGTGACTGATGATTAGTCTTTTGTTGAACATTGTTTTTGGACAAACTGTGGATATAGCAGGGTGTTATATTAACGAATGTTGTCTTTGTTATTGTCCTTTGTATATATCGATGTTTAATGAATAGATTTTGGTGGATATTCGCAATAAATATCGTTCATGGAGTGATGATCGATGATATTCACATTTATATATTTTTTTAGGTTTGCGTTTTTTCAGGAAAAACACCTAGAAAGATAAAGTTTAAACACAATACCTTATCCAGATACCGTATTTAATTCTAATCGCTAACTATACACGATTTCGAGTTACATGAAATATACAAAGATTGCTTATCCAAAGCTCTTTGCATTTTTAAATAAAACATATTTATTTTTAAAAGCGAAAATTTCTGTGTAATATCAGTCAATGACAATACAATTTCCTAACTTTTTCTTTTATTTAAAATTAATAAAATATTTGAAAACTAATTGACAATTTTTTTTAAAACCCATAGATAATACTTTGTCGATATTTTTTTTTAGATGTGAATTTGAATATTTTTTTTATTATTCAATTTCTATATAACATTGAAGAGGCCTTTGCAGTGGACTGCTAAAAAAACTATTATTTTGAAATTAAAAACAGACAGTTTGTAATTTCAAAATAACAGGTTTTTTTCATGCTCACTCGGTTATTTGCACAATACCTATGCCTGAAATCGAGTTTAATTTCTTTTTTCTGTCTGTTTGTTCGGGTAATCTTCTAAACGGCTGGACCGGTTTTGATAATATTTTACTACCAGCTATCTGTATAAGGAGTAACTTAGGCTATTTTTCTCCTCAGAAAAACCTTATTATATTTTAGATATTATATTAACATATATCATGTTATCACATAATTATTCAGTCAATCAGGTAACCTGTTCCTCCTATACCATAAAAAACATCTGTAATTATAAAAGCAGTAATTAATGGCGTTCGAAAGAAAACGCAAAATGTATAACAGTTAGGTAGGTAGGAATTAATCATACCTAAGAATTACACATCTCATTTCCTACTACTCGTGACTGTTTAACGTATCAAGTGGTAATGCTTATCACAGTTTATAGTGTTTTTGATTAACAAGGAAAATCCTTGAAGAAAATGCATATAGGTATATTAGACGACTCATAATTCTTTTGTATAATTATCATCATCACATCCTCAACAGCCTATAATAGTCCACTGCTGGACACAGGCCTCTCCTTGAAAAGGAGATTTATGCCTACAGTAAACGCTGGCCAGACAGGTTGGTACAGGTTTTGTGTCAAGATTTCCTTCACTTTGTAGTGTTGTTGTCCTGCGTAGTTTGCTCCCTTTGTCGGCTCCTACGACACCCACGGGAAGAATAGGGGTGGTGACATTCCGTATTCTTAATCTGTCACCACACGGACATAACTTTGTATTGTTTAATTAACTTGTAATGAAATTGTATAATTAACGATTACCGTAATGTTTTCTTTTTGTTATCGGACAAAAGAGGTTTCTAACCTGTTCTAATCTTCACCAAAGAGTTTTCTCTTCTCTTCTGACCTCTAAAGATGATCTTAAAACAATTGGACGTAAGTATTTATAATTTCTTAAAGAAATAGTTTTATTTATAAAAGCCGTTAAACATACATACATACATAAACACCACAGACTACACTCTGTGGTGTTTATGGTTCCGTACCTCATATTGAAAATGTATATATTACCTCATACGATTTCTTCGTTGTCCGTCCGTCCCTTGTTCTCGTGAAAGTGTAAAAACTTCAATTTCTAAGTCTACGAAAATAAAAGACATGATATCATACATATCATCTCTCTAATTTTAACGATGCACAGTTCATTATAAATCTCCAATCCTTATGTCTTAAAATTTGGCAAAAAGTAAGGCACTAGTTCAAAAATAAAAGCCGAAAGTCGTTAATTTTTCATACACTTATACAATGATCTGAAAATGGCTTATATCTATTTATAACAGATATTTAGAAAAACAAATAGTTACTTATTATTATTATTTTTTATTTTAAATTAGTGTATTGTCATCGGTTCTAGATATGCAAATGTTCTGCAAAGTTTGATCGAAATCTGACAGTTTAAAGTCAGTCAAAATCACGCCCAAAGTAGTCGGTTACAAACAAACATACAGGTGAAGCTAATAAAAAGCGTGTAAAAGTAAAATTAGAGTTAAGTTTGTCGTCAAAACCGATTTGTAACAAGAATTGATGCACTACAAACTAAACGTAGTTTTAAATTCCCAATACTAACTGGTGTCTTAGCGATGTAAATATTAAAGTAAACGTTAATCATCCTTTTTAGTTTTAATACGTAATTTGTTTACCCTAGCAATAGTCAGGTAATACTTTACAAACAGAGTTCAGAGTTATAGAATAACATGTTTTGATACAGCATTTTGTTTACGACAACAACTACTACTAACTACAACAACTAACTTCTACTAACTACAACAACTAACTACAGCAACAACAGTATTTTGTTATAACAATGAATCAATGACGTCAGGTGAGTCTCGGATTACCCGAAGATGCTTGTTAACACAAATGTAATAGTTTCTTATCTGTGATTAATTTTTATGATGTTGTAAAATCTAGGTCATTCGTTTATTTATTTTCCTCTTTGTTATAAAAGAAAAGGGTGTCGTAAGAGGCGACTAAGGGAGCAAACTACTAGAGACCAGCGTAGTATATTATGCCAAAACCTCCTTTCTAAGGAGAGGTCTATGCCCAGCAGTGGAATATTAAAGGTTGTTAACAATGATGGTGATGAAAAAGATTAAATGTACTATGTCACTTTTAACAAATCGATAGATATCCATATAACTATGTTTACGAGAATTAACGCGCTCACGATAGTTATTAAGTACATGTCTTGCTTTGAATTTTCGATCGGATTGCACTGATCGTGGTCACAGCCTGACATCATTATTTATTATACTAGCTTTTGATGTCGGTTTTAGCCTATGTTACTCGCTGATAAAGTTGCTTTCCCTTGGTGAAAGAATTTTTAAAATCGGTTAGGTGGTTTAGACTTAAAAGTACTACAAACAAACAAACACTTTCACATTAATAATTAAAGTATGAAAGTATGGATTATGGAACACGATAGCTTGAAAGATAGTAAAACCAAAGATATCCATAGATGTCAGTTTTTTAAACTAGCTAGAGATTGTTTTGAAGCAATTTTAAGAGGATCTATCCGAAACTCGTTGGATTCTCAAGTGAAAAAAATGGCCAAGTGCGTGTCGATCAATGCGCAATGTAGAGTGCCGCAGTTTATGAACTACCCGGTATGTTTATAAATACCCTGGTTACCAAAGACTCTGCTTAGTAGAGGATCAGACGACTCCATTTTGAGATGTGTGAGATCATTACTATTAAGAAAAAGCTGTGATTTTAAATTCAAGCAGCAACTGTGTCAGGTCAAAGTACTTTATATTTGCTCCGACAACAATCTTTCGTTCCATGATAACCTGCTGATAACCTAAAAAACTTAACAATTCTTTACCTTTACCAGAAATTTAAGATAATATACATATTTATATAACAAGAGGAAGTCTTTGTTTAAAATATGTTAATTTATTTTATTAATTTATTTAATATTTATCCGTGTGGTGACGGATTAAGAATACGGAATGTCACATCTATTCATCCCGTGGGTGTCGTAAGAGCCGACTAAGGGAGCAGACTACGCAGGACAACAACACTGCAAAGAGAAGGAAAACTTGAAACAAACCCTATACCAAACCGTCTGGCCAGCGTGGTATAGTAAGGCCAAAACCTCCTTCCTAAGGAGAGGCCTATGTCCAGCAGAGGAATATTATAGGCTGTTGTGATGATTTTATTAATTTAAGCGAAAATTGGAAGCTTTACCGAAAGCTATTAGGACTCAGGATGCAACAATCTGGAGGCAATGCTGAATCCGTTCAAAGTCAAAGACCAAAGTTCCTTTTCTCGGAGTTGTTCAAGGCGTTTAACACTCCTGTACCTTTGTTACAGATAACGCTAAAGCCTGGGTTTTCAGTAGCCAATAAGGAATAGTATAACAAGACGGTAAGGAATAGTAGTGTAGGACGCCCACAGGCCAGGTGGAGTGACGATTTGCGCAAGATGGCTGGCAGGACCTAGATGCGAGAAGCCCAAAATCAATTTAACTGGAGTGCAATGGGAGAGGCCTATGTCCAGAAGTGGACTGCGATAGGCTGATGATGATGATGATGATAACAAGGTTTATACATAAGTTTCAGTCAATTAGAATCTGGTTTCAAAACTGTTGCCCGTCAAAGATCTTTGTATCATTAACTCAGCACTATTACTGGTAATTCTAAAGCTGCTAACACTGAAAACCCCTTTTTTTTTCCGTGCGGTAATCCCCTCGTATACCACCTGTTGGTGGCATGTCGGACTCGAACCGACTAAAACCGCACGCCGTCTCGGGTACTAATAGCCGGTTAACCAGGTATACCCTAGAAAGGAAGTCCCTGGTGCAGCACTGAAAACCCCTGAAGGGTAACGGCTGGATAGTGTTTCCACATGCACAAGAGGGGTAATTCTAGCAGATTACTATCAGCGAATAAAAAAGTACTGCTTGGTTTATGAAGATAAGAAAAAATAATCTTTTTATTAAGTAGCTGACGATCCAAATTACTTTTAATATACTTGGCTATTTACAAAAATGATAAAATCCTAAAGTAATGATATCTAATTGTTACCTAAGATTTTACTATTTGACGAGCCTGTTGACCTAGTGGTTAGTGAACCTGACTGCTAAGCCGGAGGTCGTGGGTTCGGTTCCTTTTCTTTTCTTTTAAAAAAGACAAGTCCCGCGTTGTGAATATATCGTCTGTCGTGGAGGACTTTACAAACATACATGAAACGGACACAAAGAACACCCAGACTCAGAACAACAATTTGTGTATCACACAAAGTGTCGTCCCACGTGGGGTTTGAACCCACAACAGACTCTCGGCGTAATACGAAGC